GTACATATGACTGATTGATGGGATTTTTGTCAGTACATAATATGAACAAAAGCAGCAAAGAGAGCAGAGGGATGGCTTTTCCACAGGGGGGCATCAAAGTCAACACAAACCAAAAGTCTCTTACTGGAGCTTTAATCTCAGTGCAAGTGAAATCCCATGTTTGCGATTGAGAATCAATTTTTCCCATCCAACCCACAACATTAGACTGGATTACACTAATCCAGATACAAAGGTTTAAGAATAGCAGGGTCTCAACAGAATAATATATCATTATACTTAAGCATATTATAAGGGGAGTAACGAGGTTAGGTGAGATGTTATCATTTGGGATTCAGTTTCAGTATCGATTACATGCTCACATTCAGCTTTGAGCTGGTTGCTGAATTGCATGGATGCGTTGCTAAGAAGAAAACAAAACCTCAACAGATAAAGAAAGGATGTAAAAAAAGATGAAACTTTCCAATTGTACAAAGAAAATGATACAGAGTTGTAAAAGTGACAGTGTTTTCATCACGATAAGATTGCAGACTGTTTTGATACAAATCAACAAATCAACCAGGAGATGACTCGATGGTAACAAGCTGAAAGGAGGCATGTCGCCACCTACTGTAGCGGAGGCATAGATGCTTTTGTCAATAATTCAATTCTCATCTAAAGTGAGATATTTGCATTAGTCCAGTTATATCGTCTAATTGAACAGAGTTAGCTTGACATCACTGTGCATGTAAACACATTGACAGTCATATGCAGAGGCAGAAAAACACCTAACAATCATGGTAAGTGCTCCAGAAGGAACAGGTTTGATCTGGAAAACATGAGAAGCTTGCAGCTGAAGTTTTGCAGCTGCAGTAACAACAACATGTCTCTAAGAGGGACATTTAATGTGAGTGTTATTCCTCCTTTGTTTTGACTCAATTCATTCACATTAGGTCATTATGCAGACCTTCAACCACTGACATTAAATAAACATGTGATGTAGCCCATAGCAACAGAAATTGGAGAGATTGTTTACACAGAGTTGACAGTTAAAGTTGACATAACCAATGTTCAAACATGTCAATAACTATTTCATGAGCAGCAGACACACTTCAGTCCCTTCTGTGAAACCCAGAGACGCCTCTGGACATCTCCTGGGAGAAGAAAACACTTAAGGTTTTAAGAGCATAGACAAAGAGCGTCAGTGTGTTTATGGTGCTCCTCCTGCCCAGCATTGGGCCACGAGATGATGTGGACACCCTGGCTGCTCATATGACCAGAGATGTGTGGCTTTAACACAAAACGAGGTATTCATTAGTGCTCTACCTCCTTTGTTAAATTGAGAGTGTTAGGCATGAATCTAGATGAATTGAGATCTCAGCCTGCAGGCAGACCTTTGCTCTAGTATTAGTCAGCAGTAAACTGAAACTGTTTTTACATTAATTGATCACTAAAACACTTAGCGATTTAACAACTCTTTAAAAATAAATCTGACCAACATATATTTGTTTGTGTCCTTTTGCTTCAAAATCAAGACTAAAGGGAAGCTTGTTGACCAGACTAATGCCAGAAACTGACCAACGACTGCACCACTATGATAACACATGCATAAGCATAAAACACATCTACACTGGCGATGGCATTATTACTCTTATGGCAGCGGTCCTTGTTTTCTTCTCTGTTTACAACTGCATAAAAGCAGTTGAGTAAATTTTGTGTAGGATGGGCAATAAAGAAGAGGTTTTATTCTATTTTATTCGATTCTAATCTACTTTATTCAATTCTATTCTATAGTCTATTTAATCAATCAATTCCAACCCTTCTTTTGTATCTATTTTTATAAAATTCTATTTTATTTTCTATTTAGTATTATATTTATTCTTTTCCTTGTCTTTTTTCTTTTCCATTCTTTTTCTATTTATCCTAACTGTTGTATTCTATTCTGCTCAAACCATTCTGTTTTAATCTAATCTTATCTTTTCCATTCCATTCCATACATTCTATTCTTTTTTATTCTAACCATTTTGTAGTAATTAATCAAATCTAACTATCTTTTGGTATTCCTATCTACCTCATTTTATTCTATATCCAGTCTTTTTTTGGTTTTCCTTTTTTCTGTTTTATTCAAACCAGTCTATTCTGTTCTATTCTTTTCTAATTTCAACCAACCAACCTGTCTGTTTTCAGGCTGAAAAGTGTAAAACAAACATAATTCAAAGAATTCTACTTTACTTATTGCAAGACAAAAAAGAAAAAGAGTGAACATGCAAAAAAAATAAAAATAATGAACTCCTCACACCGCCAACTTTTTTCTTCCCACCTGTATCTCTCAACTCCAGAGCTACATCCTCCTCCTCTGCTCTGAGACCTAATCTCTATAAGCCTTCATAATGCTCCAAAGAGAGAAAGAGAGAGAAAGAGGGGGAGAGAGAAAGAGAGAGCTTAATGACCTTGCAAGCTGATTACAGGGCAACCATGTTTCAAAACCGACCCTGAACAGAGGCCTAAGACTTAATCTTCAGTGTATTGATTACAGTGTTACAGAAGAGAGAGTTTATTAATGTATAAACACTATTTACTAATTATGATACACTATAATACACTCTGCAGCTCCTGCACTGTAAGGACTGTTATATAATCGAAGAGAGCTCATTACAGCCACTAGAGGGCAGCATAGCCTTTCTCAACTTGTGTAAGTGTCCAAGCTGGAGAAAGTGTGTCACTGGGCCACTGCTCCCTGCTGGTGGGCCAATAGAGGGTTGACCTAAGCCAAAGACACACTCATCACGAAGGTGGATTAAAAGGCAGCCGGGAATAGCAAAGTAGCTGGTTCAAAGTTTCCTCTCCAGTGTTTTTGAAGCTGCAAATCCGTCTGTTTGTTTATGTGATGCTGCAACCTCAGTGTAATCAGGTTTACTACAAAGACGGATTAATGTGGAAAAGATGAACGATTACGTGACACAAAACTGGCTCTAGTACTGGACTCTTAGTGTAATGGTGCACCTTAACCACTTTAAAAGGAGGTTGGCTATGAGTTTGGCTGTGAAATATCCAACTAAATCATAGTCCCAAGGGGTAATCCTTATTCACTGTTCAAAAGAACAGAATAGACAAAGTAGGAAGAGACAATGTACGAAACATATGATATAATTATACTATTATATATAGACTAGAAAATAATATAGACAAAGTTAGTAAAATAAAATACAATCATTATATTATATTATTAAAATACATTATTATATATCTAGAATATAGAGTTAGTAAGTAAAATAAATAAAACAGATTACAATGGAAGAGAAATACTGGCATTGTCATGAGCCAGGGTTAAACAAAAGGGAAAGGACCCAAATGCAGACAAAAATAATAAACTGAACTGAAACGTAACAAAACGTAACAAAAACTTACTTGAAAACATAAGGAGAAAAGACACTGGGAAATAAAACCACCTGGAGACGAAGGATTCATGCAATGACTAAGATTGACAAACGCGCGCACACACATCAACATACAAGGAACCGACCAAGACAGAGGGGAAGACAGGGACTATATACAAACACTGGGAAATGAGCAACAGGTGAGGCAGACGAGACACAGGTGAAACTTTTTAGTGATTAACGAAGGAGGGAAAACTGAGGAAGTAAAACAAGACTAGAAACACAAGGAATCAAAAGCTACAAAATGAAACAGGAAACACTGGAAACTGATCTAAAGAATAAAACACAGAGAACATGAGGAAAACAGGGTCAAACACAAACTGAAAACTCAAAAAACTGAATCACAGGGAAACAGGAACAATAGAGGACAGAAACACTTGGGAAAATACATAAAATGCACCCAAATGAAACCAGAAGAAAACTAGATAAGCAGAACATATCATGACAGGCATCGAATAGAATTAAGTAGAATAAAATAGAATAGAAATAAAGACAAATATATAATAGAATACAATAGACAAGGTAAAAAATAAAATAAAACGGATTACAATGTTCAAAATATATTATAATTTAATGATATCATAAAATATATGAAACAGAATTGAATTAAATTTTACTTTATTGAATAGAGTAAATAGTAAATGTAAATTGAAACACAGCAGCTGACAAGCATCTTTTTAATACATGTGATTTCTTAGGACTTAAAACCTCACTGTGTTGACTTTCCTTCCTCCTGCAGCCCTCAGGTTAAAAGCAGAGTAACACCAGGCAGGTTTTATGTAAAATTTTGCTGAGTTGCTGAGAAACTCCCACCTTTCATCTGCCTGATGTCTTTTGTCATCTGCTTTGTCGTGTTATACAAGGCTTTGTGTGACCACTGAGATCTCTGCACAGAGCGGTTTGAGAGGCAGTCACAGGCTTTGTGCGTACGTGTCCCCTACCGTCTCTTCAGATGCAAAGTTGCGGCTTTGACCACTTGCTTAAAATTTTGCAAATGTTTTGCAAGTGTGATGATGTTGCTCTCAGCTTTACCACTTCAGCTTTTGTTTTAAAATCATACCAAGTGCATGTCATCTAATGCTTCAGGTAAAATGCAAAGGTTGATTCTGATTTCTGGGAACTGGGGTGACAAAGCAGAAAGAGTGGTCTCACACACGTATGGGCCCCTTTTTGTCCTATAAACACAGGAAGTCGAACTCTGTTGTGCTTCTGACCACACAGCCATCATACCACCAGCAAAACATTTCCTTAAAGAAACTTGTCTTCATTTATACTCTCAGGGCTCCTTTCACACATTTTTCTCTCTACTTTTCAATATTTTTTATCATATTTTGTCAACTGCTGATATTCAAGAGAAGAGCTTCTTTCATTGAGACAGAGCAAATCTGAACGACGATCAGTAAAGTTCTTGCATTGCTTTGTATTGAATTGATCAGCCCCCTGCATAAGACGGTAAACAATTTGGGCCCTAATCTATTAATTATTGAACAACAGTACGATGTCAGGATATGACAAAACACGACACATGCAAGTAAATCTGTTTATTAAGTCTTGCAACAGAACAGATACAGGGTTTCATTTTTATCTTGATCACTTGGCGTCCTGGCAGGGTCCAGGTTGGCGTACTAAAGTCAGATCATTAACAAAATCGATGAATTCTAAGAAGTTCATCTCTCCGTCTCTGTCTTCATCCAGATTTTGCATCAGTTTGTCCACCCTGTGTTGGATCTCTTGTTCATTTTCTGCATCCTGCAAAAACAAAACTACACTGTCTTTTTTGCTTGAACAATAACAAATTGAGAACACAGAAACTTAAAAAGTCTCATTTCTAGACACATTTCTTAAAGTGGGAATTTGTTTAAAGTTTAAAACTGTTCATTTTGCATCAGAAATGAATCTAACTCCATTTAACTTTGTGTTAAGAGAGAAACAAATGGATGTGATTTTTTTAACTTTATCAAAACTTATAAAGCTTGAGGTTTACTTTACCTAGAATTGTAAAATTTACTCAATTTTCTGAGCTAACAGTCATTAATCCTGGTGTGACCATACCTGAAGATATCCTGGCAGCTCCGCCTGCAGCCATGCTCTGAGTTCTCCCTTGGAAATGGTCGTGGCATCTTCATCTTTTTTAGCGTAACGTTCGAACATTTTACGCACAGCCTCCATAGATATTAGTAGATTGGTCATCGCTGCAGATTCAAGGTGGTTGACACTGTCAGATGAAAAAGACTACCTCAAGTCAACAGAGCTGTAGATTAAGTGATTGGCAGAGGGCGACGGCCTCTTTTATACTCATCAAAAAACTGGTGAAACCAGTGTGGGACAAATAATGAGCTTATATAAGGAGATTTGGGTGTGAGCTTCAAGTCTCTGCATGGGCTCGAAATCCCCGTCAAAAACCATTGCCTGTGCACAGAGTTCATCACTGGATCCACCAATCCAGGTGAAAACTGAAAATCTCAGGACACCATATATTCCAGACACCATTATGAGCCGTGTGGCAGCCTCAGATCCTCAGGTGGCCCCCTACTGGTCATGCCAAAGTCAAGGCCCCGGCAGTCCTGATTTGATGAGCTGCTATCACAGTTACTTCTTTTAATAAATGTTTGTTATCAAGAAAAACATATCCACACCCCAAAATCCAACACAGGCCACCAATGCACTGCTTCCCAGCATTTAGCAGCCTGATTGCTCAGGGAGAAATGAGTTGGAGTACCTATTTGTTCTTCAGAGCTTATGATCTTGTTCAGGCTGTTTCTGTCCTTTACCGATAAATCCATGAAACCAGCAGATAAAAGAGAATGTTTAAAGACTTTCAATAAAAGAATGATAAAAACAAGACAGGATGCCCCCAGAAACACTAAAAGATCTCAGTTTCTGCAACAAGTGAATCCTTTGTTGACCTTTTTTAGGTATTGCCTCTGTGTTCTGAACGAACTTTAGGCCAGAGTCAAACATAGCTCCAAGATACTTGTAAGAGTCAACAACCTGTACATCTTCACCATGGATGAGGCTAGCCTCAGATGAAGTCCCCCGGTCAGTCCGTCTAAATTCGATTATTATTTCCTTAGTTTTTTGGACATTGAGATCAAGGAAGCTGTCATCACACCATTTAACAAACCTTGATAGAGCATCCACACGGCCTGACTCCGAGCCTTGGAGAAGGCACAGCAGAGGTGTATCATCTGAGAACTTAACCAGATAGCGGCTCTCTTGGCTAGACCTGCAGCTGTCTCTGTACAAGATAAAAACCAGAGGAGGAAGGACACAACCCTGAGGAGAACCAGTGTTGGACACTAATGGCTCAGACATGTGACCATTCACAAAGACCCATTGGACTCTGTTTGATAAAAAAAATTAAGAAAAATGACCAGGCAATTTAAATTGAAAGGAGAGTCTCTCAAGTAAATATGAAGCTGTATGTGTGTGCAGGTTAGCACAACAGCTCTGGTACTTCACCTACAAACCCACCCAATTTGAGCTTTGTCCTGTGGGTGGGAATGACTGAATAGCATTAGTGTGAGTTGATTCAAGGTGTGAGGGAAAATGAAGTCAGTACGTGTACATGCACCAGTTAATCCAGCCTAGGTTATAGCTCCATCAGGATCTGCTGCATCATTGATGTTGCATTAAGAAGCAAATATCAAATAAACCAACCTGCCTTTGTATACACAGAGTGGAATCTAGATATTTTTTAACTTCAAACAAACAGGAACTTCACAGTTTAAGGATAGGAGACCAGACTGGACTGCTGTAGATTTCAGTGTTATGTAATCCTGTTGTAGTAAGGGTGTGGAGCAGGCTCATCTGAAGGAGAGGGTGGCTTGTAGGAGCAGTTTGTTCTCTTGCAACCTGTGGCGTTTCATAGTTAACCTCAGAGTCCCTTATGTTCACACACAGGAAGGAGCAATGTGGGGGGTGGTTATTTAATTTGGCTGAATTTTGATTTACTATACTATAGACAACATGGTTGGAGAGAAAACTGCTCTATTTTTACTTACAGAAGATCTATACAGATTTATACATGAGATTTTCATCTCTTTGTTTCCAGGGAAAGGAAGTGAGCTGAAGTGAGCTGGTGTGATTTAGGCTCTTGTTTTCATTCTACTTTTGCTTAATATAACAGGTACACAGTCAGAGCTAATTCAGCTTAATATTGACCCCTGATGAGGAGTAACAGGTTGAATCAGGTCTGAACTCTCAGCCTGTTTGTTGCTAAAATGATCTTTTCTTGTCGACATACTCTGAGCATAATTCCTTCATGATGCAGTCCTCATGAGCACCTCATTGTTTAGCACTTGACTAAAACAGATTAGAAACCTGCTCTTTCCTCCTGCACATTTGGGTGTGCTGCAGTCACCCAAATTAAAAATTTAATTGAACAGTTCTGTTGTTTCTAATAAGTTCAGGATATGAAAAACACTTCACATGCAAGTAAGTCTTTTTTATTAAATCTTGCAACAGAACATATAAAGGTTTCATTAATATCTTGATCACTTGGTTTTCTGACAGGGTCTTGGATCAAGTCCATGGATTGTTAAAATAAAAGCAGAAATAAAAATGACAAATTCGGAGAAGTTCATCTTCCCGTCTCCGTCTTGATCCAGATCCAAAATCAGCTGTTTCGCTGTCTCTTGGATGTTTTGTTCTTTACTTGTACATTTCTGAAACAAAACAAAAAAATCTTCATTTTTTACTTGAACAATGGTCATTTGAGAACACAGATTTTTTTTCTACATCATCAGAACATTTACTAATCTTAGCATATATAATGTATATAGAAGTTGAGGTATAATATAGCTGTTAGTGTAAAACCTATTCAAATGGCTCAGCTAATACAGTTATTAATCCAAGTGTGACTTTACCTCAAGAAATCCTGGCAGCTCCGCCTGCAGCAATTCCTTGAGTTCACTCTTGGAAAGGGTCTCTGCATCTCCATCCCTTTCAGCATAATTTTGGAAAACCCCAAACAAAAGTTCCATGGAAAAAAGCAGGGGGGTCATCGTCACAGATTCAGCGGTGGTTGACATTGTCAGGCAAAGAAGACTTCCTCAAGTCAACAGAGCTGTAGATGGAGTGAATGGCAGAGGGAGACGGCCTCTTTTATACTCATCAAAAAACAGGTGAAACCAGTGTGGGACAAACAATGAGCTTATATAAGGAGATCTGGGTGTGAGCTTTTAGTGTCAGCATAACTTGCAATCCCCATACTCATGAGCTCACAGTTGAAACAGGTTTGTTAATGTTGTCCCTGATCCACAAAGACATAATTCACCTCAGGTAGGGCAATGTTAAAACAGAGCCTTTTAGAGCTACAAACAGATTTTAATGCTGTGAATCACTGACAAAAATAATACAAGGCTAAAAGGCTATTCCAGATACCATAATGAGCCGTGTGGCAGCCTCAGATCCTCAGGTGGCCCCCTGCTGGTCATGCCAAAGTGGAGGCCCCAGTGGTCCTGATTAGAAGAGCTGCTATCATAGTTACTTCCTTTTAATAAATATTAGTAATGAAGTAGAAATAATGCAAACTCAGCTGTGACTCTTGACACCCAGATTCTACATAATGGTTTTCTACTTTCTTTGACCACCTTGTACATTTTGCAGGTAAACCTAGAACTACATGTAGCATAGTCGTGTAGCTGGTTATGAAAACATCTCTGGTACTTCAACTTCAACCCACCCACTTACACTTTGTCCTGTGGGTGGGAATGACTGATTGGCATTAGTGTGAGTTGACTCAAGATGTGAGGGAAAATGAGGTCAGTACGTTTACATGCACCAGTTAATCCAGCCTAGGTTATAGCTCCATCAGGAGCTGGTGTATCATTACTTTTGCATTTAGAGGCAAATATCAAATAAACCAACCTGCCTTTGTATACACAGAGTGGAATCTGGACATTTTTTTAACTTCAAACAAAAAAGAACTTCACAGTCTAAGGATAGGAGACCAGACTGGACTGCTGTAGATTTCAGTGTTATGTAATCCTGTTGTAGTAAGGGTGTGGTGCAGGCTCATCTGAAGGAGAGGGTGGCTTGTAGGAGCAGTTTATTCTCTTTACAACTGTGCAGTTTCATAGTCAACCTCAGATTCCCTTTTGTGTACACAGAGGAAGGAGCAATGAGGGGGACATTATTTAATTTGGCTGATTTTTGATTTACTACACTATAAACAATGAAGCATCCAGACAACCCTGTGTGTGAAACTCACACATTCCTCACAGAAAAGGTTCCTTATCTGGTCCAAGGACACAGGATAATATAAATCTTTCCAGACTTGTTGGCACTTTTAAGTTACCTAACTGACCCGATCAGAAGTTGACCGAAACCTCTGGCTCTTCACCATTGGTCAATTGGGAGAACAGAGACAGAGTCTTTATTACCTTTCAAACTGACTCCATCACTGACCACCTAAATATACCTCATACCTCAATTTTTCTATGTGCTCCAGAAGTTAAGTTATCACTCTGACAGAATAAATCCTTTCTTCTTTAGTTGCTCTAGACCAACAGCTTTCCAGACCGTTTCATGAACTTTTAAGAGTTAAATTTATAGACTGTGACTCATAACTTTACTCTAAGAAAGAGAAATAGTTTAGAAATGTTTGGTTTATATTTTAATTATTTATTTAGTATTTAAAACATGAGGTGATTATAATGTCATTGAATAATCTGAATGTGAGTATTTAGAATCCATTATTAATCATGATGACGTTCATTCACATGTGTTTACTCATTCGTTGTTCACAGTTTCTGTGTGTTAGCATCAGTTTTATTTCAGAGTAATTTAGCATGTTCAGTGAGATACTTAAAGCATAATGAGAGTGTTTGATGGGATCCTACATTCATATGTGTTTAGTATCAAATCATTTGTCATGAAACCAAGCATTTATTATTAGTTGTCTCTAATAAGTTCAGGATATGACAAAACACTGTTTACTGTTTTCTGTTTACTTTTCATCAGAAATGAACTTTAACTCCATGTTAAGGGGAACACTTTTTTTTTCACGTCATCCGAACATTTACTAATCTGAGCAGTATATACTGTATATAGAAGTTGAGGTATAATATAGCTGTTAGTGTAAAACCTATTCGAATGGCTCAGCTAATACAGTTATCAATCCAAGTGTGACTTCACCTCAAGAAATCCTGGCAGCTCCGCCTGCAGCAATTCCTTGAGTTCCCTCTTGGAAAGGGTCTCTGCATCTCCATCCCTTTTAGCATAAGTTTGGAAAACGTCATGCATAATTCCCATGGATATTAGTAGATTGGTCATCGTTGCAGATTCAAGGTGGTTGACACTGTCAGGCGAAAAAGATTACCTCAAGTCAACAGAGCTGTAGATGGAGTGAATGGCAGAGGGAGACGGCCTCTTTTATACTCATCAAAAAAATTGAGAAAACAATGTGTGGCAAATAATGAGCTTTTTTAAGGAGATTTGGGTGTGAGCTTTTAGTGTCAGCACAACTTGCAGTGCCCTTACGAATGAGCTCACAGTTGAAACAAGTTTGTAAATGTTGTTCCTGATCCACAAAGACATAATTCACCTCAGGTAGGGCAATGTTTGAACAGAGCTCTTTAGAGCTACAAACAGATTTTAATCTTGTGAATCACTGAAAAAAAAACCCAAGGCTAAAAAATTTTAAACCCAGAGAAAGATCACCCAACTAATGAGGTTGATATCCAACAGTTTAGTAACATGAGTGAGTTTAAGAAGGACAGTCAGAGAGGCTGAGTCTCTAAGAAGGAAAAATGGAAAGACATTTACCACTCAGTGCAGGATTACATGAGCTCTTACCTCAACAAAACTCACAACAATGTTTCTCAGCAAAAATATTGGGAGAAAATTTGGTTCCAATTTCCTAATTTCCTTTAAAATTTCTGTACACAAGTGATGAGGTAGATGGCTGAGATCTGCAGGCCCTTAGGGACCACTGCATTGAAAATAGGTATGACTCTGTAGTGAAAGTCTCCACTTGGGCTCAAAATCCCCTTCATAAACTGTTGTCTGTTGTCACTGCATCCACCAAGCCATGTGATAACTGAACCGTGCACTCAGGACACCATATATCCCAGACACCATTATGAGCCGTGTGGCAGCCTCAGATCCTCAGGTGGCCCCCTGCTGGTCATGCCAAAGTCAAGGCCCCGGTGGTCCTGATTTGACGAGCTGTTGTCGTAGTTACTTTCTTTTAATAAATATTAGTAATGAAGTAGAAATTATGCTAACTCAGCTGTGACTCTTGACACCCAGATTCTACATAATGGTTTTCTAATTTCATGGACCACCTTGTACATTTTGCAGGTAAACCTAAAACTACAGGTCGCACAGTCATGTAGCTGGTTAGCACAACAGCTCTGGTACTTCAACTTCAAACCCACACCCACTTTGAGCTTTGTCCTCTGGGTGGGAATGGCTGAAAAGTCTAAGATGATTCAAGGTGTGGGGGGAAATGAAGTCAGTACGTTTACATGCACCAGTCAACCCAGCCTAGGTTAAAACTCCATCAGGAGCTGGTGAATCATTACTGTTGCATTTGGAGGCGAATATCAGATAAACCAACCTGCCTTTTGGTGCACAGAGTAGAGTCTAGACATTTTTTTTAACTTCAAACAAACAGGAGCTTCACAGTCTAAGGATAGTAGACCAGACTGGACTGCTGTAGATTTCAGTGTTATGTAATCCTGTTGTAGTAAGGGTGTGGTGCAGGCTCATCTGAAGGAGAGGGTGGCTTGTAGGAGCGGTTTGTTCTCTTTCCACCTGTGCAGTTTCATAGTTAACCTTTGAGTCCCTTTTGTTCACACACAGGAGGGAGCAATGTGGGGGGACATTATTTAATTTGGCTGATTTTTGATTTACTTTACTATAAACAACATGGTTGAAGAGAAAACTGCTCTATTTTTACTTACAGACGATCTGTACAGATTTATACATGAGACTTTATCTCTTCGTTTCCAGGAAAAGGAAGTGAGCTGAAGTGAGCTGGTGTGATTTAGGCTCTTGTTTTCATTCTACTTTTGCTTAATATCACAGGTACACAGTCAGAACTAATTTAGCTTAATATTGACCCCTGATGAGGAGTAACAGGTTGAATCAGGTCTGAACTCTCAGCCTGTTTGTTGCTAAAATGATCTTTTCTTGTTGACATACTCTGAGCATAATTCCTTCATGATGCAGTCCTCATGAGCACCTCATTGTTTAGCACTTGACTGAAACAGATTAGAAACCTGCTCTGTACTCCTGCACATTTGGGTGTGCTGCAGTCATGCAATAGTCAGGGTGTGGAGCTGTCTGTGTTGGAATAGTGACAGAGTTTATTGGCACAGATGTTACCTGTTGGCTGCTCGCCCTTATTTCTTCGCAGTAACCTGACACATTGCATCAGAGACTCTGTCCTGATCAGCCCAGCGTATGATGTAAAAATGTAATTGAACAGTACTGTTGTCTTTTATAAGTTCAGGATATGACAAAACACGACACATGCAAGTAAATCTTTTTTATTAAATCTTGCAACAGAACAGATACAAGGTTTCATTATTATCTTGATCACTTGGTTTTCTGACAGGGTCTTGGATCAAGTCCATGGATCATTAAAATCACAGCAGTGATAAAAATGACAAATTCTGAGAAGTCCATCTTTTCGTCTCCGTCTTGATCCAGACCCAAAACCAGCTGCTTCACTTTCTCTTCGTTTTCTTTTTCTTTACTTGCACAACTCTAAAACAACAAAAAAAATCTACCTTTTTTACTTGAACAATGGTCATTTGAGAACACAGAAATTTAGAATATCATTATTCTTGCCAAATCTTTAAGACTGGAACTTTGTTCTAGTTCAGAACTGTTTACTTTTCATCAGAAATGAACTTTAACTCCATGTTAAGGGGAACACTTTTTTTTTCACGTCATCCAAACATTTACTAATCTGAGCAGTATATACTGTATATAGAAGTTGAGGTATAATATAGCTGTAAGTGTAAAACCTATTTAAATGGCTCAGCTAATACAGTTATTAATCCAAGTGTGACTTTACCTCAAGAAATCCTGGCAGCTCCGCCTGCAGCAATTCCTTGAGTTCCCTCTTGGAAAGGGTCTCTGCATCTCCATCCCTTTTAGCGTAAGTTTGGAAAACGTCATGCATTATTCCCATGGATATTAGTAGCTTGGTCATCGTTGCAGATTCAAGGTGGTTGACACTGTCAGGCGAAAAAGATTACCTCAAGTCAACAGAGCTGTAGATGGAGTGAATGGCAGAGGGAGACGGCCTCTTTTATACTCATCAAAAAACAGGGCAAATAATGAGCTTATATAAGGAGATCTGGGTGTGAGCTTTTAGTGTCAGCATAACTTGCAATGCCCATACTCATGAGCTCACAGTTGAAACAAGTTTGTAAATGTTGTTCCTGATCCACAAAGACATAATTCACCTTAGGTAGGGCAATTTCGAACAGAGCTCTTTAGAGCTACAAACAGATTTTAATCCTGTGAATCACTGAAAAAAAAAACCCAAGGCTAAAATTTTTTAAACCCAGAGAAAGATCACCCAACTAATGAGGTTGATTCCCAACAGTTTAGTAACATGAGTGAGTTTAAAAAGGACAGTCAGAGAGGCTGAGTCTCTAAGAAGGAAAAATTGAAAGACATTTACCTCTCAGTGCAGGATTACATGAGCTCATACCTCAACAAAACTCACAACAATGTTTCTCAGCAAAAATATTGGGAGAAATTTGGTTTCAGATTACATATTATCCTTGAAAAATCTCTGTACACAAGTGACGAGCCCGACGGCTGAGATCTTCAATCCCTTAGGGACCACTGCATTGAAAATAGGTATGACTCTGTAGTGAAAGTCTCCACTTGGGCTCAAAATCCCCTTCATAAACTGTTGTCTGTTGTCACTGCATCCACCAAGCCATGTGAAAACTGAACCATGCACTCAGGACACCATATATCCCAGACACCATTATGAGCCGTGTGGCAGCCTTGGATCCTCAGGTGGCCCTCTGCTGGTCATGCCAAAGTCAAGGCCCCGGTGGTCCTGATTTGACGAGCTGTTGTCGTAGTTACTTTTTTTTTTTATCAATATTAGTAATGAAGAAGAAATTATGCAAACTCAGCTGTGACTCTTGACACCCAGATTCTACATAATGGTTTTCTAATTTCATGGACCACCTTGTACATTTTGCAGGTAAACCAAAAACTACAGGTCGCACAGTCGTGTAGCTGGTTAGCACAACAGCTCTGGTACTTCAACTTCAACCCACCCACTTTGAGCTTTGTTCTGTGGGTGCGAATGACTGAAAAGTCTAAGTTGATTCAAGGTGTGGGGGGAAATGAAGTCAGTATGTTTACATGCACCCAGTAGCGGTTCTAGGCACGGGCGAACAGGGCAGCCGCCCGGGGCGGCATTTGTGTCATGACTCATGGGGGGCGGCACGAGCACTTCCAAAAAAATAAAATAAAAGATAATAATGATAAATCTTAACCGCAAAGCGGTTTTGTATTAACTCTTGTTGTCAAATTGGCGCCCCCCCGTTGCTGTAGGCGCCCCTGCTTGCTCCGAAGGTGCTGCACAGAGGCTGACAGACTGTAGGAGACGAGGCGGGGAGAGAGTCGCGGGGGGACAGCTCTGCTCTGTGTACGCATGTCAGCATATCAGCGGGAGCGCGGATACGTCATTTTGTAGTTTTTTAATCATTTCTGGAGTCGCGGTGAGTGAAATCACCGTACCCGTCTGCCTTTGATAGGCGAATAAAGCGCTCGGGTTCATGCTCGGATCTTGCTACGTGCTTGATGAGCTTAATGAGTAAAGTAAACAATGACCGAGACAGAGAGCAGCTTCAGAGGAGAAACATCCAGCAGTGTGAACAACCTCTTCATATGGAGTGCTTTGGCTCACACTATCAGCGTTTTCTCTGAGTGTTGCATGACTTTGGGTGAGAACAGAGATGAACACACTGTCAGCCACGTATTTATTTATTCATTTTTTAGTTTTTAGTTCTGCTTTTGTACTGGCACTATACTGGGGCAGCTGTTTACCCTTTCAACACCTTATTTTCTATATTTACATTTCTATTGAATGGACACTTTATCATGACTGCCACTTGTTTAACAGAAAGCAAATTATTTGTCATTCTCCAGTGCAGAGCCTTTACTTTTATTTATACAGCCGCCTTATTTCATTTGAGTTTGTTTGTTCTTTTTCAAAGATGTGATGAAGGTTCGCAAAACTAAAAGAGAGCTTTCTTGAAAGCCACATGTTTAAGCTCTCCAATACTTTTTGAATTTTGTTTCTATCTACTACAGAGGCCGAGATAGCAGCTGTTTTGTAAACCTTAACACGTCAGAGAACCTCAGGATCTGGGGGCCCTTCTCAAAATGGCCCAAAATGGATTTCTGCAATTGAGAAATATATTATTTTTTTTGTTATGATAATAATACTACATAGTAATACAAAACTATCTGTTCAAAATTCTATCTCTTTTTGTGTTTGTGTGTGTGTGTGTGTGTGTGTGTGTGTGGGGGGAGGGGGGGGGGGGGGGGGCACTTGGAGGGGTGCTCGCCCGGGGAGTAATTTGGTCTAGAACCGCCACTGCATGCACCAGTCAACCCAGCCTTGGTTATAGCTCCATCAGGAGCTGGTGTATCATTACTGTTGCATTAAGAGGCGAATATCAGATATACCAACCTGCCTTTTGGTGCACAGAGTAGAGTCTAGACATTTATTTTTAACTTCAAACAAACAGGAGCTTCACAGTTTAAGGATAGGAGACCAGACTGGACTGCTGTAGATTTCAGTGTTATGTAATCCTGTTGTAGTAAGGGTGTGGAGCAGGCTCATCTGAATAGAGGCGGTGGCTTGTTGGAGCGGTTTGTTCTCTTTCCACCTGTGCAGTTTCATAGTTAACCTCAGATTCCTTTTTGTTCACATACAGGAGGGAGCAATGTGGGGGGACATTATTTAATTTGGCTGATTTTTGATTTACTACACTATAAACAACATGGTTGAAGAGAAAACTGCTCTATTTTTACTTAGAGAGGATCTATACAGATTTATACATGAGACTTCATCTGTTTGTTTCCAGGGAAAGGAAGTGAGCTGAAGTGAGCTGGTGTGATTTAGGCTCTTGTTTTCATTCTACTTTTGCTTAATATCACAGGTACACAGTCAGAACTAATTCAGCTTAATATTGACCCCTGATGAGGAGTAACAGGTTGAATCAGGTCTGAACTCTCAGCCTGTTTGTTGCTAAAATGATCTTTTCTTGTTGACATACTCTGGGCATAATTCCTTCATGATGCAGTCCTCATGAGCACCTCATTGTTTAGCACTTTACTGAAACAGGTTAGAAACCTGATCTGTACTCCTGCACATTTGAGTGTGCTGCAGTCATGCAGTAGTCAGGGTGTGGAGCAGTTCTATGTTGGAATAGTGACAGAGTTTATTGGCACAGATGTTACCTGGTTGGCTGCTTGCTCTCATTTCTCTACAGTAACCTGACACATTGCATCAGAGACTCTGTCCTGATCAGCCCAGTGTATGATTTGGGCCCAAATTTAAAATGTATTTGAACAGTACTGTTGTCTTTTATAAGTTCAGGATATGAAAATCACTTCACATGCAAGTAAATCTTTTTTATTAAATCTTGCAACAGAACAGATACAAGGTTTCATTATTATCTTGATCACTTGGTTTTCTGACAGGGACTTGGTTCAAATCCATGGATCATTAAAATCACAGCAGTAAGAAAAATGACAAATTCGGTGAAGTTCATTTTCCCGTCTTCATCTTCATCCAGACCCAAAACCAGCTGCTTCACTTTCTCTTCGTTTTCTTTTTCTTTACTTGCACATTTCTAAAACAACAAAAAAAATCTACCTTTTTTCCTTGAACAATGGTCATTTGAAAACACAGAAATTTAGAATATCATTATTCTTGCCAAATCTTTAAGACTGGAACTTTGTTCTAGTTCAGAACTGTTTACTTTTCATCAGAAATGAACTTTAACTCCATGTTAAGGGGAACACTTTTTTTTCACGTCATCCGAACATTTACTAATCTGAGCAGTATATACTGTATATAGAAGTTGAGGTATAATATAGCTGTAAGTGTAAAACCTATTTAAATGGCTCAGCTAATACAGTTATAAATCCAAGTGTGACTTCACCTCAAGAAATCCTGGCAGCTCCGCCTGGATCAATTCCTTGAGTTCCCTCTTGGAAAGGGTCTCTGCATCTCCATCCCTTTTAGCATAAGTTTTGAAAACGTCATGCATTATTTCCATGGATATTAGTAGATTGGTCATCGTTGCAGATTCAAGGTGGTTGACACTGTCAGGCGAAAAAGACTACCTCAAGTCAACAGAGCTGTAGATGGAGTGAATGGCAGAGGGAGACGGCCTCTTTTAAACTCATCAAAAAACAGGTGAAACCAGTGTGGGACAAATAATGAGCTTATATAAAGAGATCTGGGTGTGAGCTTTTAGTGTCAGCACAACTTGCAATGCCCATACTCATGAGCTCACAGTTGAAACAAGTTTGTAAATGTTGTTCCTGATCCACAAAGTCATAATTCACCTCAGGTAGGGCAATTTCAAACAGAGCTCTTTAGAGCTACAAACAGATTTTAATCCTGTGAATCACTGAAAAAAAAAACCCAAGGCTAAAATTTTTTAAACCCAGAGAAACATCACCCAACTAATGAGGTTGATTCCCAACAGTTTAGTAACATGAGTGAGTTTAAAAAGGACAGTCAGAGAGGCTGAGTCTCTAAGAAGGAAAAATGGAAAGACATTTACCTCTCAGTGCAGGATTACATGAGCTCTTACCTCAACAAAACTCACAACAATGTTTCTCAGCAAAAATATTGGGAGAAATTTTGGTTCCAAATTACATATTATCCTTTAAAATTTCTGTACACAAGTGATGAGGTAGATGGCTGAGATCTGCAGGCCCTTAGGGACCACTGCATTGAAAATAGGTATGACTCTGTAGTGAAAGTCTCCACTTGGGCTCAAAATCCCCTTCATAAACTGTTGTCTGTTGTCACTGCATCCACCAAGCCATGTGAAAACTGAACCGTGCACTCAGGAAACTATATATTCCAGACGCCATTATGAGCCGTGTGGCAGACTCAGATCCTCAGGTGGCCCCCTGCTGGTCATGCCAAAGTCAAGGCCCCGGTGGTCCTGATTTGACGAGCTGTTGTCGTGGTTACTTCCTTTCAATAAATATTAGTAATGAAGTAGAAATTATGGTAACTCAGCTGTGACTCTTGACACCCAGATTCTACATAATGGTTTTCTAATTTCATGGACCACCTTGTACATTTTGCAGGTAAACCAAAAACTACAGGTCCACATTAGTGAAGCTGGTTAGCACAACAGCTCTGGTACTTCAACTTCAACCCACCCACTTTGAGCTTTGTCCTCTGGGTGGGAATGACTGAAAAGTCTAAATTGATTCAAGGTGTGGGGGGAAATGAAGTCAGTACGTTTACATGCACCAGTTAATCCAGCCTAGGTTATAGCTCCATCAGGAGCTGGTGAATCATTACTGTTGCATTTGGAGGTGAATATCAGATATACCAACCTGCCTTTTAGTGCACAGAGTGGAATCTAGACATTTATTTTTAACTTCAAACAAACAGAAGCTTCACTGTTTAAGGATAGGAGACCAGACTGGACTGCTGTAGATTTCAGTGTTATGTAATCCTGTTGTAGTAAGGGTGTGGAGCAGGCTCATCTGAAGGAGAGGGTGGCTTGTAGGAGTGGTTTGTTCTCTTTTCACCTGTGCAGTTTCACAGTTAACCTTAGAGTCCCTTTTGTTCACACACAGGAATGAGCAATGTGGAGGGACATTATTTAATTTTGATTTTTGATTTACTACCCTATAAACAACATGGTTGAAGAGAAAACTGCTCTATTTTTACTTACAGATCTGTACAGATTTATACATGAGACTTCATCTCTTTGTTTCCAGGAAAAGGAAGTTACTTGAAGTGAGCTGGTGTGATTTAGGCTCTTGTTTTCATTCTACTTTTGCTTAATATCACAGGTACACAGTCAGAACTAATTTAGCTTAATATTGACCCCTGATGAGGAGTAACAGGTTGAATCAGGTCTGAACTCATTGTTTAGCACTTGACTGAAACAGATTAGAAACCTGATCTGTTCTCCAGCACATTTGGGTGTGCTGCAGTCATGCAGTAGTCAGGGTGTGGAGCTGTCTGTGTTGGAATAGTGACAGAGTTTATTCGCACAGATGTTACCTGTTGGCTGCTCGCCCTTATTTCTTCGCAGTAACCTGACACATTGCATCAGAGACTCAGTCATTGAATAAATTCTCCTTTGGCGATCAATGAAGATCTTGTATTGTATTGTATTTTATTGTTTTGCTTACTCCCTTGCACACAATGGTACTCCATTTGGGCACAAATTAGAAATACATTGAACAACAGGACTTTTGTCCCTAATAAGTTCAGGATATGAAAAACACTTCACATGCAAGTAAATCGTTTCATTAAATCTTGTAACAGAACAGATACAAGGTTTCATTATTATCTTGATCACTTGATTTTCCGGCAGGGTCCAACGTGACTGTAGATGGCTAAAGTCAGACCAGCAAGAAAGTCGATGAACTCCATGAAGTCCATCTTTCCGTCTCCGTCTTGATCCAGCTTATTCATCAGTGTGTCCACTTTACCTTGGATGTCTTGTGTGCTTCCTGGACACTCCTAAAACATAACAGTGCTTACTTTTTTACCTCAACAATGGTCATTTCAGAACACAGAAGCTTGAAATGTCTTTTTTCTTGCCAAATCTTTAAGACTAGAACTTTGTTCAAGTTCAGAACTGTCTATTTGCATCAGAAATAAATTTTACCTTCATGTCCAAAGAGAAACAAATGGTTGTGATTTTGTTCAAATCATCAGAACTTTTATTCATCTGAGCAGAGGAGCTTGAGGTTTAAAACACTTGTAAGTGTAAAAGGTATTTAACTGACTCAGCTAAAGCAGTTATTAATCCCAGTATGACCTTACCTCGAGGAATCCTGGCATCTCCGCCTGGATCAATTCCTTGAGTTCCATCTTGGAAAGAGTTTCTGGATCTCCATCCGTTTGAGCATGAGTTTCAAAAGCCACAACCATTTCCATCATTGAGTGTAATAAACTGTTCATCGTTGCAGATTCAAGGTGGTTGACACTGTCAGGCGAAAAAGACTACCTCAAGTCAATAGAGCTGTAGATGGAGTGAATGGCAGAGGGAGACGGCCTCTTTTATACTCATCAAAAAACTGGTGAAACCAGTGTGGGACAAATAATGAGCTTTTATAAGGAGATCTGGGTGTGAGCTTCCAGTGTCAGCACAACTAGCAAACATGAACCCCCTAATAACTTTTAAAAACGGAGCTTCACAGAAAAAAAGAGGACTTGAGCACAAACCAGTCCTAAAATAACTATACGTCAACATCGCAAGCAGAGGGGAGAAAAATGTATGTTCTGTGTAATAAATTTCTAAAGTTTGTCCACAGCCCCATAAGCTTTGCTGGCAGAGGCGGGATTTATGACCTTTACTGCAGCCCATCAACAGAGGGTGCTGTTCTCGGAGTGGCTTCACCCAGCGAGGAGGCAGACTCTGTCCATTCTATATACAGTCTATGGCCCATACACATGAGCTCACAGTTGAAACAGGTTTGTAAATGTTGTCCCTGATCCACAAAGACATAATTCACCTTAGGTAGGGCAATGTTTGAACAGAGCTCTTTAGAGTTACAAACATATTTTAATCTTGTGAATCAATTAAAAAAATAACCCAAGGCTGGAATTAAAAAAACCTGGAGGAAGATCTCCCAATCATAGACTGTATATACTATGGACAACTTGGTTCTGCCTCCCCCCAGTGTACAGATTTGAAGCCAAAAAACTCTCTATATTTTCTGTATTTTTCTTCATTTCCTGAAACCAGCGCTGCGCAGTAGCGTTGTACGCATTCGGTGGGAGAGTCGCCGAGATTCGCTCTGATGACACTCGCTCAAACAGCGTATCCCCCGGATGAGCAACGTAATCCTTGAACGCCAATAGGATGTATCAGGTGTCAATCAAAGAAAACATGAACACCCTAATAACTTTAAAAAATGGAGCTTCACAGAAAAAAGAGGACTTGAGCACAAACTAGTCTTACATGTTGACTACATGTCAACATCGCAAGCAGGGGGGAGAAAAATGTATATTCAGTGTAACAAATTTCTAAAGTTTGTCTGCAGCTCCATAAGCTTTGCTGGCGGAGGCAGGATTTATGACCTATACTGCAGCCCATCAACAGAGGGTGCTTTCTCAGAGTGGCTTCACCCCGCGAGGAGGCAGACTCTGTCCATTCTTTATACAGTCTATGCACCCAACTAATGAGGTTCATTTTCAACAGGTTAGTAACATGAGTGAGTTTCAGAAGGACAGTCAGAGATGCTGAGTCTCTAAGACGGAAAAATGGAAAGAAATTTATCACTCAGTGCAGGATTACATGAGCTCATAGGTCAACAAAACTCATAACAATTTTTCTTTGAAAAATATTGGGAGAAAATTTGGTTCATAATTTCATAATATCCTTTAAAATCTCTGTACACAAGGTCGAGGCCAATGGCTGAGATCTTCAATCCCTTGGGGACCACTGCATTGAAAATAGGTATGACTCTGTAGTGGAAGTCTCTGCATGGGCTCGAAATCCCCTTCAAATCCATAACCTGTGCACAGAGTTCATCACTGGATCCACCATTCCAGGTGATAACTGAAAATCTCAGGAAACTATCTATTCCTGGCATCATTATGAGCCGTGGGGCAGCCTCAGATCCTCAGGTGGCCCCCTGCTGGTCATGCCAAAGTTGAGGCCCCGCCAGTCCTGATTTGATGAGCTGTTGTCGTAGTTACTTCCTTTTAATAAATATTAGTGATGAAGTAGAAATTACGCAAACTCAGCTGTGACTCTTGACACCTAGATTCTGCAGAATGGTTTTCTACTGTCATGGACCACCTTGTACATTTTGCAGGTAAACCTAAAACTACAGGTCCACATTAGTGTAGCTGGTTAGCACAACAGCCCTGGTACTTCAACTTCAAACCCACACCCCCTTTGAGCTTTGTCCTCTGGGTGGGAATGACTGAATATTATTTATGTGAGTTGACTGAGGGTAAATGAAGTCAATAAGTTTACATGCACCAGTTAACCCAGCCTAGGTTATAGCTCCATCAGGAGCTGGTGTATCATTACTGTTGCATAAAGAGGCAAATATCAAATAAACCTACCTGCCTTTTAATGCACAGAGTGGAGTCTACCCAACTTTGTAACTTTTTACAATAGGAAGATCTTTAAAAATTATACTATAAATGACATAATTGCAAAGAATATTGCTGTATATCTACATACAGATCTATACAGATTTATACACAAGACTGCATCTCCATATCTCCAGAAAAAGGAAGTGACCTGAAGTGTTCTGGTGTGATTTTGGGTCTGGTCAGAGTCGGTGTGTGTCTGGTGCTGAAGGTGAATGACAAAGACGGTCAGAGCTGGCCCAAGGTCCGGCCAACTGGCTGGCCGATCAATCACAGTAACACCAGTTTCTGGTAGCTTTGGCGCTGCAGGCAATCAGTAAAAGGAGAATCTGTGTCTTCATAAAGCTTCTCAGCAGATTGAAGCATGAAGGCCTCTAAAATCTCCTTGTAGACTTTAGACTGCTTTGACTCTGAACTTGATTAAACACAGTAGACCAACAGCAGCAGAAGACATGGAACCCCAAATCATCCAACTTCACATTGGACTTCAAGCACCTTGGATTCTGAGCCTCTTCAATCCCCCTCCAGACTCTGGAGTCTGCTTGATTGACTTTCACCTGAAAACAGTCCAGTTCTTTTTCTTCCTAACCCAGGTGAGATTCTCATGGTGATGTCTCTAATTTAGAAGTGTCTTAGCAGCAGGAACATATGTAGTCCATTTCCCAGTCTCGTGTGTGTGTGGAGGCTCTTGATGCTCTGACTCCAGTCTTAGTCCGCTCATTTGAACCCCCTTTTAAGTTCATGAATCTGTTGTAATTGACAATCCTCTCAAGGCTGCGCTTAACCCTGTTGCTTGGCCTCCTTTTCCTCCCTCAGTTTTCCCTCCAGTCAACTTTCCATGAATCTGCTTTATGCAGCACTCTGCAAACAGACAGACTTTTGCAGGTTTTCAGTTCATGAGCTACTTAGAGTTTTTTTCTGGACTGAAAGAACTGATAAAAAAACTGGACTTTTACACTAGATCCTGATGTTTTTCACTGCAGCCATCATATCACCATTTTATGAAGCAATCCACTGTCACAGTTTTCAAACAAAGAAATATTATTTTCTGTAAAACTGGAAATGCTGTTCTATAACTTTTTGCAGCCATTTGTGACTGACTCTTAAAGGGATATTCTGACGCAAATTCACGTTTTGGACAAACACACCATAACACTGAATTAGACACCGCCTCGAGAGATGAATGTTGTCAACTGCTTGCTTCTCTAGTTATACAAACTTTAGTCACAACGGCATGATTGCAATAGTCGATCACCGAATGCAACGGATCATTTCCATGAAGTACTAACCAAAAATGTTCGTCCTTGAGCTGGGTTACCCAGCTTCACTCGGTGATCAACTCGTCAGGGCTCCCCCCACAAACAAGTGGCTGCTGGAAGAGAGTGGGTGAGTTGTGTTTTGTCTTTTTGCTTAAGAAATCAGGCAAAGCTAAAAAGATGTTTGATAGCTGGTACTGTGGCTGGGACCCTAGATGTACTGTTGATGAAGTTAGGTGCTGTTCTGAGCATTATTTGTGGCTATAGAGCGGCTTTTTGGTTGAGGTTTGTGCATTTGGAGACGTAGACTGCTGTGTATTGCTATCGTGCGGTCGTTACTTAAGTTGGTATAACTAGAAGAAGCAAGCAGTCGCAACAAACACACTCGACAGGTGTCTAACTCGGTGTTATGGTGTGTTTGACCCTAAATTAATTTTATGCAGGAATATCCCTTTGAGAGTCAATACCATACCGAAAGTACCAAGTACATTTTTCAAGAGTGTTTGAGATGATTGTTTGGCTTTAGAAATTACCCTAACTTGATGCTGAGAGAGGAATAACTGTGACTCGTATCATTTTATGCAATAAATGTGACCACACAGAATTAACAGGTAAAACAGTAGAACTTTGACCTCTTTGAAAAATTACAGCGAAACTCTCATGCTAAGCTGCATATGAATGACATACGAATGAACTATCAATCATTTCTGACCCCAGTCTTAAAAGACTTCTGATCTTGAGAGGTGGTTGGATGCATCTATTGGGGTTATGCCTTCACCAAACTCAAGTCAACAGAGCAGAGGATGTAATGAAAGGTACAGTAGAGTCAGGCAACTCTTTGAAGGACGAGTCTTTTTCAAAAGATTTGGAAACACCAGCCAACATATTTGATTTGGGTGTTGGCTGATCTACAGCGCCCTATCATGATCTAACCACAACAGCTTTTATTCTGAGGAACTGCAATGCTCAAAAGGTCCAAGGTTTCAACCCTTTGCTACTCTTACAAGAGAGGGCATGTCAGTGAACATGTTTTTTTGTTAATTCTGGTTTAACTGCTCTGGTTTGGTTCTCATGAGACACTGATGCCACATGATCAGCAGCTCCTTTGTAGCACTGCTCTGGCTGCATTTGATTTGTAGAAGTCACACCTTTTAACCTGAGTCGCAAACATTTAAAGGTACAATATGGACTGCATTAAGGATTCACAGCATGTGACAAGAACTATTTGCATACTATTTGCATTTGAACTATTTGCATACTTTTAAAAAAGGGATTTGTGAGATTTTGCCATGAAATGAGCTGAAAAATGCACTCATTCAAATGTAGACCATAAAAAGTTATTGTTTACATTAGTCCCTATCAAACTTGGGTGTGGCACAGCACATATTGAAGCACAAAATGAAGAGCTGCAGAGAAAACTGAACCCTGGTCATCCTGAGCCCTGCATTTTCAGGCATCAAAAATAACCTGAAAGAAGAAGGAATTAAATCCTATTGTAACCTGCTAAAAAGTCCTTACAGGAGCTTTAATGTCCACTCAAGCATCATTCATGATAATGGTCTGACATGCAGGTGT